AGGAGTGGACCGATATTGCCCATCTCCAAACTCGATCTAGGTTTGACAATAATATTACGATGTACCAAGTGTGGATCAAATTGGTTACTCTCTTCGAGAGTTATCGTGCTCACCAGCCAGACAGGCAGACGGACGGACGGACGAATGGACCGAAACCCCTAGATCGACTCCAAATGTCCTGAAATGGATATTGACCAAAAGGACATAGGTTCTAAAACCGTTATTTCAATGAGCCACATTTTGACCTTGTGCAAATGATATACACCCCCTCTAGCCATATGGCTGAGGTTGTAAAAAAACAATGCAATCAGACAGTGAAAAAAATTGAGAGAACATAGATGTGTGGCTCTCTGCAATTTATAGAGAAATGTTTGCTTTGTGTTCAAGAGACAGGTAGTTTTAGTTCACATAACTTGTCTCTCCCTTGCTCTCTCTCTCTTCCTATTTCTGCTAAAAAGCTATCGTAATAATGAGTATTTCAAATGCTCTCACTTCATATTCGTGTATTTTGGAAAGCTCTTAGCGAATTTCTATGTTTTATAAATCAAATTAAATATGAATTGAGCCACCTTTCAAAATATTTGAACGAGAGTATGGACAATTTTGTGAAAATATTTTAATGTCTTAAACATTTTGCATTAGCTCAGCTCTTATAATTCTCATTCACTTTACAAAAAGTGAATTTCACTTTGGCACAAGGATATTGGGTCTCTTTAATTAATTTATTTAGTTTTGAAAATCAGGAATTTTGTGTAAAATATCAAATTGAAAAAAATAAATTTTCTCTAGACAAAATGGTTTTACTTGAATCCGCTCATTTCTTATAATTCTCATTCACTTTACAAAAAGTGAATTTCACTTTGTCACAAGGATATTTAGGGTTTCTTGAGTCTCTTTAATTAATTTATTTAGTTTTAAAAATCAGGAATTTTGTGGAAAATAACAAATTGAAAAAAAAAACAAGTAAGCAAAGGCTACAGTCGAGCGGGCCGACCGTTGAATACCCTACAACACTACAATAAACGATACAGTTTATATAGGCGAGATACTCGAAAGAATTCCACAAGATATTGTGACAAATTATAAAAGAAAACCATCAGGTTTCGTTCTCTAATTTTCGAATAATAGGAACTTAAACTAATTTGCTCATTTCCTATTTATTGGTAGATGTTGCACTTAAATGGTCTTCCTAGATCTGGAACCAATATTTCCCAAAGACCTATAATCTCTCAGAAGTGGCAAAAGATTAACATTTATTATTGATTTTTGACTGAATCGCATCTATATGAGATACAGACATTTGACTATATTCTTCAACGAAATCAGCGTTAATGAAATAGTCAGAAGTGCGTCTTTCCTGTATTTGTGAATTCTCCAAAAAGTCTCTGGAATGGACATTTTCGTATTTTGTCTACAAAAGTTGGCAAACTCCTTCACACATTGAAAATTTTTGGATGGCCATCCAAAACTGCTTGGCTTTTGCAATGTCCGGTAATCCCTATTCAAATGTGCGTGAGGATCGGGCGATAATTACGACCTGCTGACAATTTTGCAGTTTTTTGGTCCATTTCAACCCCTAAATATAGGGCGATCATCTCCAAAAAGAGTAGGCTTCTATTCTGACCCTCATCTGATCCTCATGCAAAATTTCGTTAGGATCGGTCCATAAATACGATCTGTATATGATATCCTGATATCCTAACTACTCAGTTTTGTTAGCTGTAGAAATATTACCAAATGTTTAATTCAAAATGAAAATATGCCAAAAATATGACAAAATTGAAAAAATATGAGAAAATATTACAAAATCAATATTTTCATCTTTAGAGAGATATTTTTATGCGATTTTTTTTGTGAATTTTTTCAGCAAAAAAGATATGGTCTATTTTACCCGCTAAATATTATCCGATGACCACCCAAATTGGTAGGCTTCTTCCCCGCCCTAAACTCTAGGAAGATCCATATATACTTTCCTATGTGGGAAACCAATATTTCGAGGTGTTACATAAATTCTGGCCCAATCAAACTTATAATACCCCCAACACATAGTGTTGTAGGGTATAAAAATAAATTTTCTCTAGACAACATGGTTTTACTTACAGCCGCTCATTTCTTATAATTCTCATTCACTTTATGAAATGCAAAATTTCATCTAGACTTAAAAATATGTGTTGAGTTACATATAGTATTTGTTAGTTTTAATTTCATTATTGAGAATTGCATTTAAATTGATTTTTTTTTCAACAAAATGTTGTCATTTTTCAATGCAAGTGTTTCTGTTTTTGCCCAGAGGGTCAATGAACCACCTATTTAACTTTTATTAGTAATCTTATCATAAGCTTTTTTCGCTGTGTGTGTGTGTGTGTGTGTGTGTGTGAATGATTTTTTTTTTTCGTTTTGGTTTTGTTATTGTTATTATTAAATACTATACATTGTATATTTGATGTACAAACATATGTATGCACTTAAATAAAATAGGGACACAGAATGTCTGGAGAAGTTCTCCACAAGATACTTTCGATTTTGGGTACTTTTTTTACCCGGCTCGGCTAGGTGAGTGTGAAATTTTTTGGGTTTGTGCAATCAATGGCTGGCCTAGAAGTTCATGGAAATGGCAGAGAAAAAAAATTTGTTTACCTTTTTTTGGCAAAGAAAAAAAAAACCCACACCAACAACAGACCTGAAAATAATATCAACTACAACAACAATAATAATAATAATGAGATAACATTCTAAATATACTTAAGAACACGTCAAATGAAATTAAATTTAGGAAAACAAAAAATACTAAATATTTGCTCTTGAACTTGAGTCCAATGACCTCGACACATATAATTTTTTTTTTTTTTTTGGGGGGGGGGGTGGGGGGGGTATATGAGTGGGCTAGAAAGTAATCTCACTCTCATGTGTGTATGAGTGTGTGTGTGTGGGTGTGTATGATTTTTTTGTGAGGCAATTGGTGAGATTGGTGTAAATTTGTGGTTCGGAGGGTGGTTTTTTATACCCTCCACCATAGCATGGATGGTATATTTAGTTTGTCATTCCGTTTGTAACATCTCGAAATACAAATTTTAGACCCCACAAAGTATATATTTTCTTGATCAGCATAGAATTCTATGACGATTTAGCGTTGTCCGTTCGTCTGTCCGTCTGTGGAAATCACTCTAGCTTCCGAACGAATTGAAGTAGATTGATAAACTTTTTGCTCAAATGTATGTTATGTCTGCAGGACTTTTGGTATTGAAAATGGGCCATGTAGGTCCACGTTTTGGTATAGCCCCCATATAACGGTACCTCCCGATATTCGGTATTTTGAGGATTTTAGCGAATTTTTTCACCGGAATTGTTTCAAATTTGGTATTTGAAGTTCGTAATGGATACCACAGCCTAAGACAGAAAATTGTCTGTGTAGGTCCACGTCTTCGTATAGCCCCCTTATAACAGTACCTCCCGATATTCGGTATTTTGATGATTTTAGCGAATTTATTCACCGGAATTGTTTCAAATTCGATATTTGAAGTTCGTAATGGATACCACAGCCTACGACAGAAAATTGTCTGTGCAGGTCCTCGTCTTCGTATAGCTCCCAGATAACGGTACCCCCGATATAATAATCCAATTTTAAAAATACAAATATTTGCATCAGTTCTAGGTCAGGTGCAAAAATGGACAATATCGGTCCACTCTATCAAGTACCTCCCCCACAAAGGGTCAAAATTTTGAAATATTATAACGCTTATAAAATGTGATGTAAGAGTCTGATTGCCTTCGAACTTTCACACATTTCACAATATTTTTATTAACCCAAGGTCTGGTGTGGAGATGGAATATATAGGTCCACTCCTTCTGATACCTGCCCCACAAAGGGTCAAAATTTTGAATATCCATGAAGCTCATAAATCGCTGAATTAGCATCCGATTCCATTCCGACTTCGTAAACCTCAATATTTCCATCAACACAAGATCTGTTATAAATATGGTAGAGATCGGACCATTCCTCCTGGTACCTCCCCCACAAAGGATCAAAATTTTCGAATAACCGATCGTTTATAAAATCCGAAATAAGTATCCAGATCTCTTCATATATCACACATCCTTTTATTTATACTAACACAAGATCTGGTATGAAGATGGAATAGATCGGTCCACTCCTTCTGGTACCTCCCCCACAAAGGCTCAAAATTTTGAATATCCATGAAGCTCATAAATCGCGGAATTAGCATCCGATTCTTTTCAGACATGGCACATCTGAATATTTCCATCAACACAAGATCTGTTATAAATATGGTAGAAATCGGTCCACCCCTTGTGGTACCTCCCCCACAAAGGGTCACAGTTTTGAATAATCATGAAGCTCATAAATCACGGAATTAGCATCCGATTCCATTCCGACTTCATATATCTCAATATTTCCATCAACACAAGATCTGTTATAAATATGGTAGAGATCGGACCATTCCTCCTGGTACCTCCCCCACAAAGGATCAAAATTTTCGAATAACCAATCGATTATAAAATCCGAAATAAGTATCCAGTTCTCTTCGTATTTCACACATCCTTTTATTTATGCTAACACAAGAGCTGGTGTGAAAATGGAATAGATCGCTCCACTCCTTCTGGTACCTCCCCCACAAAGGGTCAAAATTTGGAATACACTTGAAGTTCATAAAACGCGGAATTACCATTCGATTCTTTGCAGACATGGCACATCTGAATATTTCCATCAACACAAGATCTGTTATAAATATGGTAGAAATCGGTCCACCCCTTGGGGTACCTCCCCCACAAAGGGTCAAAATTTGGAATACCCATGAAGCTAATAAATCGCGGAATTAGCATCCGATTCCATTCAGACTTGGTATATCTCAATATTTCCATCAACACAAGATCTGTTATAAATACTCCATAGAGAATATTCATAACATTAGTCCAAGTATATTTAAATATTCGAACATTTGGATCTAATTTTCCATTTTTGTTTTTTTTTTTTTTCATTGCAGACCAAAAAACACTCCCCCGGCCACATAAAACGGCCCATGAATGCATTTATGGTGTGGAGCCAAATGGAACGCCGCAAAATCTGTGAAAAGACGCCCGACATGCACAATGCCGAGATTTCCAAGGAGCTGGGCCGTCGCTGGCAGCGTTTGAGCAAGGAAGAGAAACAGCCCTACATTGTGGAGGCTGAGAAACTGCGTCGCCTGCACATGATTGAGTATCCCAACTACAAGTACCGGCCCCAGAAGAAACTGGCCCGGACCACTTCGTCGTCGAGCAAACAGGGTGGCCAGGAGAGCAATGAAAGTTCCGAGCTAAATTCAACGGCCTCGCCCCCGGGACCACAGAAGTCACAGCAGGGCAGTGGCGCGGCCAAGCCGGGTCGCAAGGGTAAGCGAGCGGCTAGCAATGGCAACGGCAACAACAGCAGCAGTAATGCCAATCAGCCAAACTTCGCCAACAACAATAACAATGATGGCACCCCACCCTACAAAAAACAACGCCATAATAGCTGTAAGTCCCTGAATATGAGCACCACCACCGATTACGAGGACGATGATGAGGGATTGATGGGCGGTTGTTGTGACACCCCTCCCAGCACCAGCCATCATTTGGAAATCAGCACTAGCTATTTAAATGCCACAGCGGGCAGCGATTTCCCTCTAACCACCTCAAACTCATGTTACAACAACAACAACAACGCCGATGAACAGCCACAGCCACACCAACAAAGATTACCCACCCTGGCGGATCTAACGTCTGGCACGTTACACTTCAAGACCGAAGATGATGTGATTGGTGGTGAGCAGGATGTTTTGGCCATCGCCGATGACATGATGATGACCAGTTCGGTGTTTGGTTTAGATGATGGCGACTCTTCCGATTTGCATAACTCCTATGGCACACACAACCACCACCACAACAATAGTAGCCACCTCAATCACCAACCCCAGCACCCACATCATGGCATTGTCAACATCGATGCCAATCTTCATCCTGCCAGTCAACAGCAACCGAATGTTGACCCAGCAATGCAGTATTCCGATATGAATTTCCTTGATTTCTATTGCAATGATATGTCTCCGACTGCCTCCAACAATAACAGTAACAGCAACAACAACAATAATACAACACCGGCCGCTGCGGCTGGGAACTGTGGACTGGACGAGGAGGTTGGCCAGGACCAGCAACATTACACAATATTGGGCTGTGGCAGCGGCTGTGAAACCAACAACAACACACAGCTTCATCACATGTCATCATCCCAACAACAACAACAACACCATCACTCCTTGTCCAGGTTGGGGTCCCAACCCACCGTAACCGTGAACTTTGTTACAATGAACAGCAACAACAGGCATTGCATTAAATATGACAACACGTCCACATTCCATCTCGACTCATCGGCTGCTATCTTCTCCAGCAACACCAACAATACCGACCACAACAACACAACATTGGCGGCGAACACAGTCATCATATCACCCTCACCAGATGAATGCTGCAGCCCCCTACTCAACGGTGCACCCCACTCGCCTCAGCTGGGCGGCATCTGTCACCCTTCACCCCTGGTGGGCGGTGGAGTGATCAGCATCAATGCCGCCGGCCTTTGTTCGGACCCAAGGGAGAGCGTGTCCCTGGAGACCCTCACAACGGCCACAAACGATCTTAGTTCTTTAAATGTCGTCGATACCCACAATCGAACGCTGTTCGATCTCACGCACGACGATTTGCTGCCACCACAAGCGACGAACAGCCATTTGGAATTTGCACACCCATGGACCCTATAAACAGCTGCAGCAGCAGCCGCAGCGACAACAACAAACTGTCATTTGTGTGCATTCTCTCAGTTACTCACTCACTCACTCATTCGCACACACAATCAATTACTCCTACTCCCAGGACAAACTAATCCAAAGTAAGGAGTTTGAATTTTTTTGGATTTTAAAAATTTTGTAATTAAATCAGAGTTGGGAGTTGCAATGACCAAAATCAAAAAAAAAAAATCGAGATGTGTTCCCCTTAACACGCAAATGTCCCCGAGGGAAATTTGTGTGAATTAATGCCGGGGGGGAAAATACGTCAATATTTTTTGAAATGATTTTTTTTTTTTGTGTTAACAGTTCCCAGCTTCCTTATTGTAGAATTAGTTCGCGAACACAGTTTAACAGGCCAAGGGCGGGGAGGAGAACATCTCATGTTATGTGATAAAATGAAAGCGGTATCCATTGAAGAGAGGAAAATGCTTGTTTTGGTAAATGAATTGTGAAAATATCCGTATCTCTCACTCTCTCTCTCTCTCTCTCTCTTTGTTTGAAGATTTGTCTTGTCTTCTTTTGAAAAAAAAACATACAATTTTAATATTTACCAGTCTTCCGAAAAATGCTCTCGAATTCGAGCTGGAGCTCTCCTGGGAGTACAAAAAAACGAAGCAAACAATTTATATTTTTCAGTTTCGCTCGAATAAAACCGAGCATGCTGATTTTTCAAATAGGAGTGATTCGCTTCCACCCAGAAGAAAACCCCATATAAAACTTCCATTTTTGTGCAATCTTGCTCACGAGCAAGTTTTTGTCCCGAGTGAAAACGAGCAAATCGGTGCTACGCTTTTAAATAAGAATTATTTTTTTTTTTTTCAATTCTAAGTTATCATCCCAGAACAAAAAAATAATATATTAACTTCAAATAATAATAAATGTAGACTCCACTTCCAAAAATCAATTGTCAATATTTTTGGGATTATTTTTTAGTATGCGTCGACAAATAACAACAAATTGACTCTCTCTTTATGCCTCTCCTATCTTATTATTATTATTTCAACGAAAAGTGCCCGGAAGTGACATAGCGGTAACATAAAACAGAGTGTAAGCATGATTGAAGTTTATTAAAAGCACTCTCAAACTCTCTCTCTCTCTATCTCTCGTTCTCATGGAAGATGAGATAGCCTGGTATAAGGGAAAAGAGAAATTAGAGCAATATCTAAATATAAATAGTACAATTCCGTTTGGATTTTTCTCTCTCTCTCTCTCCCTTTCTGCTCGTCTCTCTCTTTCATGATCTTACAAGTGTTTATGGTTGTCATTTCAAATAATCATATCTCAGGAACTAACGAACGGATTTTCATGATTAATATCTCATATGAAAGGGAATTGAGAACAGTTTTAGACTAATAGAAATCTTCAACAATTTAATCATTTTGACCTATTGCTAAATAAATAAATACAAAATGGGTACCTATTTTTGTCTCTTTCTTTTTTTTCAAGATTTTAAATTTAATTGCTACCAACCCAATTATTCTGCTTTTAAAAAATCCGCATTGCTTTAAACTTAAATTCCAAAAACCATATTTTCTACATTGAATGCCAATTTTATGTGGAAATTATTTATCTATTAAATTGTCGGTTACAAATATCCATCGCTGCAAACCATAACTATTGAAAAAAGTCAATAAGCCTCCAGGCTTTTGAATATTTTTGATTATTCTTATTCACACTTGGAAAAAATTAACTTTATTTATAAATTTTCTAATATCAGAGTAACCGTCCCTGCATGTAAGAACAATTTTCAAATTTATTCTCGTTTCCAGAAGTTCCATCTTTAAAAAAAAAAATTAAATTGACTTTATTTAACTGTAATCGCCTTTTTTGATTGCCAATAAAAATAGTCATTCTATGTTAATAAAAACGAAAACAGAAATTACTGGGAAAATTAAGACTTTCCAGCCCCTGCTTAGCAAGATTTATGTGATTTTATCGAAAGTATTTTTCATTTTTCTAAAGCCCTTTGGAATCATTAACTTTTTATTATTATTATTTCTCAATTCCGAACATCCATCCCTGCAAATGAGAAAATTTTTGAAAGTATGTTTACTTTTGAAATAATATACTTTTTATTAAATTTTTTTAAACTTTTTGTTTCCATTTCAGAAGTTCCATCTCTGATCATGAGATTTTCAATAATTATGTGGAAATAATAATTATTATGGGAAAATTCATATTGAAAAAAGGACTTTGACATAATAATTATTTACACGTATTTTTTTGGAAATCTCCAAATCAGAGATGGAACTTCTGAATTGTAAACAAAAAGTAATTTTCTTTGAATTAATTTAATTTTTTGGATTAATTTTAAAATAAAAGCAATTAAAGCCAAGCCTGTTTAGGAGTTATTGGCGTGATCTGCTGGAAAGTATTTTTTTTTTTCTAAATCAATTTTTTTTTCTAATCTAATGTCACTTTCCAGCATATGAGAAGAATTTTCAAACTAGATATGTTTTCAATTATATTTGAAAACTATTTTTTTTTCAAGGGAATATTATCCCTTTATGTTTTTTTTTTTTTTTGTTGAAAAATAAGTTTCTGTTTTCCATCCCTGATCATGAGATTTCTAAAACTACCAGTAAATAGTTACTACAGTAAAATCCGTCTTTGATCCCTCGAAGTTAATAAAATCAAAAAGTTATTTCTACACTAATTAAAACTTTCCAACCCTGATCAAATCGAAAATATTTTTGAAAATTAATTGAGAATTATCCTTAAAAAAACTTACCTTTAAAAAATCGGAATGCCATTTTAAAACTACATTTTCAGAAAATAAAATCGAAAATACTTTCTGGGCCATTAAAACTTCCCAACCCAGCTTAGGAGCTATTGGCGTGATCTCATCGATATTGTTTAGCTTTTTTGCATTTCTGTGATATTTCCAAAATCCAAATCTGATATGTTTTAATATTTTTTATCAGACTTATGTCAGAGGTTCTTCGGAACCTCTCCTATGAAGGGTCCACATTATCCAAAATGATTAATAAAACGAATTTATAAAAAAAATGTATAAAACTAAGAGCAATTGGACAGGTCTGGTTTTTTAGCAGCGCTGGATAAAGTGAGTAGGGAGACAGAAGCAGGGAGGCAACTGACAATGAGAGTTTTTGAAGAAATCCATCAGATTTTTTTTAACAGAATACTGGTTTTGTCGTGTGGTAGTTAATTCGAGAGAGAGAGAGAGCGAGGTATATTTATAGAAAGAGAGGCATATTAATTAATGTTAGCTCTTAATAGAAAGTTAGAAACCAAATGGATATAATTTTATATTTTTCTTCGTGTTATGGCAAAAATCTTAAGGCCAAAGAGAGCGAGAGAGAGAACTGGTAATGAATAATTTCCTATTTTTCCCATAGAATTCCGATTTAATTGTCTTTTATGAAATTATGGAGAGAGTTATTTCGAGAGAGAATGAGTTATAGATAAAGCAATCAATAATTGATAAATAATTCGAGAGAGATAGAGCGAGTTATAGAGAGAGAGACAGATCAATCAATGATAGCTACTAAGATAAAGTTAGAAACCAATTGGAAATAATTTTATCTTGTTCTTTATGTTATGGCAATTATCTTAAGGCCAAGAGAGAGAGAGAGAGAGAGAGAGAGAACTGATAATGAATAATTTGCTATTTTTCCACATAATTCCGATTTAAATTATGGAGAGAGTTACTTCGAGAGAGAGAGAGAGAGAGAGAGAATGAGTTATGGATAGAGAGAGATCTCAATAAGTGATATTATATTCATGTTATGGCAAATATCTTAAGTTAAAAAGAGAGAGAGAGCGTGAGAGCGAAAAAGAGTAATTGAAAAATACCCTAGGCAAAACCTCTTAAAAGTACTGTACACAATTCAAAATAAATACCTTAAATAAGAGACTGTGATAACAAAAAAAGTAAAAGAAAACACCCCACCCCACATTTGGTATTTATTCCTCGAACCCAAGTTCCAACATTTTTCAGGGAAAAAATAAATTGTATTATTATTATTATTTTTCCAGAAAAAAAAAATGTTTGGGTCTTGGAAAAGGGGCTGGCTCCTGAATGAGGACTGGCTCAATGTAGCCATTTTTTTTTTTATATATATGAATGTAAATAGTCGTTTATGTTAATTTGATGTTTCAATTTCGAGATTGAATACCAAAAAAATAAAAAAAAATCTGGGTGTTTTTACTTTTTGCATTAAATGTTTATAGGAGTTTTTTTTATTAATTAATTCATTTTTTGTTTGTGTAAAGTTAGCAAATGAAAGCAATTTTTCTCGTCGTGTATAACTTGTAGACTAGGGTAAATGTGTGTGAGAAACTTGGAATTGAGGTCCAAAGTGTTGTGATTTTTTTTAGTTTTGCTATTTTCTTTCATTTGTGAAAAATTTTGAAACAAAAATAGGTAGGTGATTTTGAAACTTGGTATAGGAAAGGATTTATTTTGAACGGTGTGTGTGTACAGGAAATGGAATTGAATAAATCTCCCCCTGGCTGTTAAACAGTGTAAATTATATATATATTAAAAAAAAAATAAAATTATTAAAAAATTAATTTATACTTATGACAAAAAAAAAAAAAACAAGAAAATAAATACCGTAATCTGTTGATAAAACACAAACATATTTTTCCATACATATTAATGAGAATATCTATGTATGTCCTATGTGTGTAAGCAAAAGTATGCAATCCAATAGCAACAAAAAAAAAAAAACAACAACAACAACATGAAAGCCAAGCAATTGATTGTATTCTTCTCAGCTTATAACCTCTGTTTGTGTCTGTGTGTGTATTTCATTACTTTAAGTATAAAATACAAGTAGAATTAATAATAATAATAAGAATAATAATAAAAATAATAATAAGAAAGCATTATAAAAATTTCTATATATACACATATACATACACATAAAACAAAAATGTAAACTTATACAAATATTTTTATATACATACAAATTCTATATATATATACATATACATACATAAATCTAGTTTTATACTGATATATACTTTATACATTTTAAACAAAGATTATTAAAAAACAACAGCTCCATAAGTATGTGTTTTTAAATATTAATAACAAAAAACAACAACAACAAGAACTAAACTTTAGCTTTATTAAAAAAAAATCAAACACAAAAAACGGAAAGGTGATTAAAGCAAAGCAAGAATGAAAAAGAACGAAAAAATATTCTCCTTATATATATATATATTTATATATAAATGTTAATATTTAAGAAAACAAAAGAAAAACAATTAAGTAGTGATTTTTTTTCAAAATGTCTAGTTTTATAAGTTTTAATGATAAAATCACACCCCTCCCCCTTTTTTCCCCTTCATGCCATCCTCATCCCCATTAGCCATTCATCGCCAAAAGCGAAACACAATTTAAAAACAATCCTTGCACACACTTCCATCTCTTTGAAAAAGAAGTAACAACATTTTTAAAAAGTGCTACATGAAACAACAACAAAATTTTATATACATATTTAAAAAAACAAAATAAACATTGCAATGAAATTCTCAAAAAAAAAAAAATAAATAAATAAATAAAAAACGCATTTCTTTTAATTGTTTGGTTGGTCGTTTTTTTGTCGTTAATGACGCACTGTGCGGTTTTTGGCCAATGCACGATAATGACTGGCTCTCTTAGGTGGCACAGTGGGAATGGTGAGTATTTCACAAGTAAAAAGGCAGAAAAGGTCGGCGGGGCCCAACTTAAAAAAATGCTTCTAAAACTTAAACAAAAAACTTAAAAAAAGAACTAATTAAATTTAATTTAAAAAAATCAAAAATTAAAAAAAAAAATAAAAAAAAATTAATTAAATTTCATTTAATTTAAATTAATTAAATTTAATTAAAAAAAAACAAAAATTAAAAAAAATAAATAAAAATTAAAAAAAAAAAACTTAAAAAAACTGTTAAAACCAAAATAAACATTGCATCGAAATTCTCTCAAAAAGAAAAAATATAAAAAACTCATTTCTTTTAATTGTTTGGTTGGTCGTGTTTTTTTTTTTTTTTTTGTCGTTAATGATGCACTGTGTGGTTTTTGGCCAATGCACGATAATGACTGGCTCTCTTAGGTGGCACAGTGGAAATGGTGAATATTTAACAAGTAAAAAAGAAGAAAAGGTCAGCGGGGCCCAACTTAAAAAAAAGTAAAACTTAAAAAAATAAAAAAAGTTAAATAAATTTAATTTAATTTAATTAAATTTTATTTAAAAAAAATAAAAAATAAAAAAAATAAAAAAAAAATTAGAAAAAATAATAAAATTAATTAAATTTAATTAAAAAAAATCAAAAATTAAAAAAAAAATAAAAAAACTTTTAAAAAAAATTTAAAATAAAAACTTTAAAAAAAAAACTCAAAAAAAATATCAAGAAAAAAAAACAGAAAAGATCGGCGGGCTTTTAATACTATAATAAAAAAAATAATTAAATTTAAGTTAATTTAAATTTAAATGAATTAAATTTAATTTAAAAAAAAATCAAAAATTAAAAAAAATAATAATATAAGAAAAAACTAAAAAAAAAACTTAAAAAACTTAAAAAAAAACTTAAAAAACAACTTTTAAAAAAAAAACTTAACTTTTAAAAACAAAATAAACATTGCAATGAAAAAAATATAAAAAACGCAAGGGAACTGATGAGGATTGGTGCCTCTTTCCTAAACCTAGGTATTTCCTGCCTTACCCCCTGGTAAACATTACCATCGTTCTCCACTAATAAACAAACGTTGTTTTTATAAAAAGCAACAATAAAGGGATTAAGCCTGACCATTTTGCAACAACAAAATACTATGGTATCCTGAAAAAACAAGCCAAACACTGTTCTAAACGCATTT